ATATATATATATATATATATATATATATATATATATATATATAAAATGTCTCACTATTAGAAATTAGAAAGCCAAATGCCACCAAGACCAAGGGTTTGGGTATATAAGTGCTCTAGTAGCAATGCCTAGTGCTTCCTTAATACAGCAGGCTGCAGTCTCTAGGACGGCCCCCTTTCCCATGCCTTCACTGCTCAGCCTTTTCACGATCCTATCCCATTTCTTGCTATCCAAAAGAGGCTCCACAGGTATAGATTGTGTTTCCCAGTATTTTTTTCTCTCTCTTTTCAATCAAGCTGTTGTCATTTCACCAACGGAAAACTGTCTCCACCAGGGACAACCAGACTGTGGCCTCAACATTTCTACCAGATCCTGACTAGAGCCCAAAGCTAAATCACCAGAGAACCTTTTGTCCAGCATTGACTGGGTCTCTAGGCCATATGAGCACATACGAGTTTAGATGCACAGTAATTGATCACAAGCTGTCAGGCTGCTATTATCAAATCACACCTTGGCTGCCTCGTGTTTTGTTACCAACTGATGCTGACGGGGGAAGGGTGCCACAAAACACACTTGTTGAAAATGTCATAAAGGCATCTAACGCATCATTGGTGGGTTTTTAAACTAAAAATAAAACCCTGACACCTTTTCACCCTCTCTTGTTTCAGCACATATGCGTGATCAATGAACATGGGAAGGAAAAATACCGAATATGATGAAGCAAAAATCCTCAACGTCTCTTTCTCAGATAACATGATTCTTCTGCTCAGGAAGCCAGAGTGTAAAGTCCGTCTCCCTAGCTATCTTCACTCAGCTGGGTATAAAAGATTTTTTTTTAATGGGCTCATTTTTGCCCCAAGCCCCAGAGATTATAATGTAAATACTAAAGGTTCTTCAGGAAGAGAAGACTATGCCTGCCTTTGACTCATTCCAAATTAAACTTCTGATCCCCCCAATCCCTCCCACCTTTCTGCTCCCGAATACACCTTCTGCTTTGGTATGTCACTATGCTCAATGGCTCTTCCCAGGGGTACTCCCACCCAAGAACTCAAATATTGTTCACTTAACTCCTTTAGTGCTAGACTTTTTATTATATATCACATTTTACAGTAATCAGAACCTACGGTCCCTTAGCTTTAGCCCTGAGCCTGTATAGTAAGAACGTAGCTAAATTCCCTTGCTAATCCAGGAGCGAAAGGACAGCCTCACGTGAGCGTCTGTCTGTTTGCCCGCTCCTGACAGGCCGTTATTAACTGCTTTGACAAAGCCTTTCAGAAGTGCGGGTACAATGGACCTTAATGATGTTATGAAATGAGCCTTCACTGTGTGCTCTTGAGCTTTGCTTCCTGTGTGTGATGACAGCATGTCGTGTGTGCATGGATGTACTCAACTGTGTTTAATACTCTGCATTTTAATTAGGAAAAAACACAATGGCAGCACGGCCCGCCCTCCTGAGCGGAATCCTTTTATCCACGTGGGATGTGGGCAAAGGGTGGGATTGAGAGGCAGAGGGTGTTTTTAAAAAATCAGCACTAAGCAAGTGTAAATTTTTTCTCTTATTTGCATGGAAGAATAAGAGAGTTAAATATTGTCCTAAACATGAGCAGAGGTTGAATTATTTAGCTAAATGTCCTTACATGACTTCTCACACAATCCAGGGTGCCAGAGGAAGCACTCACACATACGGAAGTTCTTGTACATAACACCACACACACACACACACACACCTATTAGCACCATCATATGTGACATTTCCTAATTTGTAGGGACTTTAATTAAAAAATAAGCTCAAGAGTCCACAGTGCTGGGTATCTTGCCTCCTAAAAGGAGCAAATGCAAGATAACTAAACAGCCTTTGTTTGATTCTGAACCATCTGTGGCATATTGCTATATTGTAGAGTCCTTTAAACTAATAATATAATAAAAAAAGACATGTTTCACAACTGCTTACCCCTCATATACTTTTAATCATTGAAATGCGTGTGAGCCAGTAGCCTAAAAACATGACTGTGTGTACCTATCCCATGGTCAACCTGGATTAAATCCAAAACATGCACTAAGATAAGTAAACATCAAGCCAGGAGCCATCTGCTGCTTTCCTGTTTTCCTCCCCAGACTTGCTTTGTAAGAACAAGGAATTTTACTTGTGAAGAAAGATTTCCCTGCATATCTCTGTCTCAGCCAGAGAAGAAAACAGACTATGCCCAGATTCCCCAAAGGCGGAAGTCACAAAGGGAGTCACTTCTGGCTTTGTTCCATACCCAAGTTACTGATTAATAATTGTGTAGGACTGCATTCATAAAACTCACATTTTATAGACACTTTCCCACTATGCCATATTTCTACCCAAAGGCCTAGAAAAATAGACACGCACTTGGTTTTGAATAGAAATTTATCCATGAAGTATGCAGCTTAGAAATGTTTTCTTAAAAATCTTGCATTTTAAGAAAACATCATTATCATTTGTGGGGATTGTGTTTGTTCAGATTAGAAAGAAAATTGATCTATCTCAAAATTGTGATGGCTTGTATATTTATGCATCAAAAAGAAAAAACAGTAAATACATTTCTGCATTTTTTTGTATCAGACTATTCTGATGCTGATATGAAAGACTGTCATCTTGGGGAAAACATTATTTCTTTTTCTCTTGCAAAGCTCTGACTGGGGTTTGATACTACTGAGCTTACTCACATCACTCCAAAAACATAAAATCCAATTAGCAACAAATCCGTGTATTTATTTAGCATTTGTGAGGGACTAGCTTGGTTACTTTTCTGTTGTGAAACCATGACGAGAGCAACTTAAGGGAGAAAGGATTGTAGTTCCCCATTCCAGGCTGCAGTCCATCCTGCAGGGAAGTCAGTCGTAGCGGCAGGAGCTGGAAGGAGCTGTCACACAGCATTCATCCATACTCAAGAAACAGAGGAACGCATGCCAGTGCTCAGCTCACTTATATCATTTTATACAGTCCAAGATCCCCTGGTCAGAAAATGACCCCACCCACAATTAAGATGAGTGTCCCACATCACTTAATGTAATCAAGATAATACCCCACAGGCATGCCCTGAGGCCCATCTCTAAGATGATTCTAGATTCTGTCAAGGTGACAACACTAACTACCACAGATTTGGAGTAGGGCTGGAAATGTGTCTCCGTAGTGGGACCCTTTCCTGCCACACACAGCCCCAATACCACAAAAGCAAAAAAGAGTGGGTAAAGAAGTGTATGTGTTATATTGGAAATTTTAGACTCTTTAAACAATAAAATTAGTAATACCTTGGGGTTTTCCAAACAAATTAAAATGTCTAGTTAAAAACTGGCTGGAATTTATTAGAGTTTCAGTTTCACACTCAAGTGTGAGGTGCAGATGGAGGGTCTCCCTGTGTTCTTTGGCTGTCTCTGATGGGTCGCCATGTTTCTGGTATTTTTGAAACAGTGAAAACAACCTGTCAGAGCAGCTCA